ACAAAACATGGTAAAATAACAGAGTCACTGCTCTACTATTTTTAAAAAAAAAATAAAAGTAAGACAGTATTATTAATAAAATACCAAGTAGGTATACCCATATACAAGTAATTATAAGTCAATCAAAATATCAAAGACAGCTCCAAAATCCTTGAGCTCTCTAATATCATAACCCAAAAGCATATAACCAAAAGAGTGGATCCAAGTATCTCTAATAGCAGTAAACTCTTTCTCAATACCCTTAAAAGATCTCAAGTTTCTTTCCTTCTAAACTACTCAAAAAATAGAAAGTGGAATTAACCGTAACAATTTGTTCTTTTTACACACCCCATCTCAAGCCCACAACTCCTCCCTCACACTCCCAGCCACCACCCAGTTTAACCCTAATAATTTGTAAACCATAGACCAAATCTCATAGGTAGCAGGGCACCACAGCAAAATATGATCACAAGTCTCCTCCTCTTTTTTGCACAAGAAACATCTATTAATCAGAATGTTCTCCCTCCTTCTAAGCATATCAACAGTTAAAATACACTCCCTGGCAGCTTCCCATACAATAAAAGCCACCCAGGGTGGAGCATTTGATCTCCAGATTTGTTTATGCGTAAAACAACTCTCAAGCTCCACTATTAAACCCAGATTTTACAATGGCACCAAAATCATAAGTTGTTTCAATCTATAAGTTATGATTCCTCGAATCTTACCATTACTTTACCCTTCACGGATACACCTAGCAGTTTAAAGAAATCATCATCCTCCCAACAAAACATGGTAAAAGAACTGAGTGGAAACTTATAAACTATAAGATGATAAACAAAAAATTTAGAGTTTCTGGAACAGGATCTATATCATATTCTATAATATATAAAAGCAAGCACATCTAGGAAACCAATGAAGAAGGTGAACAAATAATGCCAGCGAAGTAAACTTAACCCAGAAAAATTAAGAAACATAAGAAAAAAATCCAACTTAGGATAATGTTAATTCATGCAAAAGTCCACTAAAGGCTACATGACGACCATGATTTAATCTTTATTTAAGCCTTCAAAACTTTTATCCATTAATTTTGATTTAAAGTCTAAAACAGTCCATGTTTTCCTATTTATTTTGCTTATGGACCACAAGGAACACATCATCATTCTTTCAGTTTAACCAACACCAAAGATGCCCTCCAATATGTAGATGAAACAATACATGTAAAAAGCACAAAACACTCCTTAGTTATTTCATTTCCACATAACAAACAACACATTAACTTTCTACCTTAAACCACCAAAAAAGTTCCTAAATCTGGAGACCAAAGACTAAACAAAAGCTAAGAACAGTTTTATTTTCCTCATTAATTTCATTCCAAACAGCATTATTTCCTAGTTTTAACACAAGAAAAAAGAAACTCCTAAATGAACATATCAAAATAGTGGACTTAAAATAATCCATCTTTTCTCATTTATTTTATCTTCCCCAACCAGCAAGTAGCAAACCAACTTTCTGGTTCAAGCAACACTATACAGCCCCAAACATGATGAATAAATAATGAATGCAAAAGCCTAAAAAAATCCTTATTTGTTTATTTCTTGCATAACAAGTAATTCCATTTCCTACTTCAAACAACATGCAAATAGCCCCTTAAAATATGAAGTAAAAACGAAGAAAAAAAAGAAAAGAAAAATACAAAATAGCCTCATCAAGCCTTAAAACCCTTCATTAAATACCCTACACAGTACCCAAATTTTACATCCATTTCTTTTACAAACAATGAGGAAATACCTAATTAAATAACCCTAAAAAAGGAGCAGAGTATAACAGTGTGAAAGAAATAGTAAATTGAGAACACTTAAATAAGTAAAAAAAAAAATTAGATAATACTAGATACTCCACTTTCAAACACCCTTCATGGATTCAAAGAAAAATTCAGCCACAAATATGTTTCTCTTAATGATATAAACACTAATGTTTCTCCTAATGATTTACATACAGAATATTGATAACAAAACAAATCACAGAATATTGATAACAAAACAGGTTAAAATTAAAGAAAAAAGAGATAAAATATTTATTGATCGAGAAAGTGAAGAACGCAAATCAGAAGTAGAAGCAAGGACCCAACATTTGGAAGCGATCGAAGAAGAAGAACAAGTAGAGATCGAAGAAGAAGAACAAGTAGAGATCGAATAAGAAGAAGAAAAAGTAGAGCGGTTGTTCTCCCTGTGTGTGACGTGAATGAAGAAAGGAGAAGAGAAATAGGGTGTTTGTTTAGGAGGGTATAACGGAAATTAAACATATTTTATGAAGATATAACGGAAAAAAAATTATCAGCCCGTCACATACCACCGATTCAGTATTTTATAAAATTCATCACAAACTTACCAGTTGGATACCTTTTGCTTCTATCTAATTAGGTTGGAAGTTAAAACAAATAGGATTTTATTACGCCTATGGAATACCCTACATTAATTGACTACTATTTACCACCAAACAAATAGGGGCTAAGAGAGGAAAACAAATAGAATTTTATAAAATTCATCACAAACTTATCAGTTAGATACCGTTTGCTTCCATCTAATCAGGTTGGAAGTTAAAACAAATAGGATTTTATTTCGCCTATAAAATACCTTACATTAATTGATTACTATTTACCACCAAACAAACAGGGGCTAAAAATTATTGTTTTAATGACAGAAGGCTGTAGCTTTTTTATTTAACCTTAAAGTAGAAAATCATGGAGACATTATAACAATTTCCCATTTAAAAATTTGAACAATGGAGGTGTATATATATACACATGTTGTTGGCGAAATGGATGGAAGCCGAAGCCCATATGGAGTAGAGGTTGAGTGGGCTTGACGATATAACAAATTGGTAATAATATAGTGGACTGGGCACTCTCCAGCATGTATATGTTATATAATATATCTTTTATAATTACATAAAAAATAATAATAATTGGTTATTTTAAAAATTAATCCGATATTTGGTCGGTTTCGATACTTAAAAAAGGAGAAATGAAACCGATAATTAAGAATCATTTTTTTTTAATTATTTTTTTTCAATTTGGTTTTGCTATCTCTTATTCCACAATATTATTATTATTATTATTATTTCTTAATAAATTTATTTTAAATTTTTTAAAATTGAGATAATCATAATAATTCTTTAATAAATATATATATATTTTTTGGGTAAAAGTGATAATATTAAAATAAAATAAAACCAGTTAGCCCCTCATCCTTTTTATTTGATTGTTTGGTTATAAAATTTCCACCTTGTCAATTGTCAACACTAAGAGAAGAGCATGTGTCTGGAGATTTCTCTGAGTCACATTTCTTGGGTTGGGCCCACCCTGAGTGCTGACGTGGATGCCCCAATTATCGAAAAATGAATCAGGACCGCAAATCTGATAGCTGAGCTGGATCTTAAGAAACCGTTAACATCATGTTACGTGTACGGCCATGATTGATTTTACAATGAGATGTTTGTTTGTTTTTTCACTTTTTTTTTTTTTTTTTTTTTTGTATTTTTGTGCTGCAAAATCTTTGCCTTCAAAAAAATTTCAAACAATAAAGCCAGAAGATCACAAGCATCCCAGTTTCATTCCATCCCTCTCATTTTTATTTATTGTCCTCCATATACTATAACTATATATATATACGTACACACACACACACACACAAGATTTTTGGCTGAGAAAATCTGCAGGAAAGCGATCTCTCCTTATATACATATACATCCCTCCATCTAAAAGTATACCCATATCTCTAGTTACAGTTTACAATATATATTATATATTTTCTACTGTATTTGAAATGAAGTTGTATTTAATGAAAATGAACTTACGCACTTGGAGAGAAAAAAGTTACAGTTTATTTTAATTAGTGGGTACATTGCAAAAAATTCTTTTAGATAAAATATATTATATATACTTGATTGTTTAATTATAAGTATTTATTATTTATGAAATTACCATAAGCATTGTGTGTATATGAAATGTAAAAGATTGAATAACTGTTAGAATTAAATATGTTAATTTTATAACTATTTATTTATGGAAATTGTTGTAGTAAATTCGATCTATCTCTTAATTTATATTTATTTTAAATATAATTATTTTTTATATTTGATGGATGCTAAGATATTGAAAAAAATACCTAATTTTATAAACCTACTAAAGTTTACACATTCATATTGACTTTTTTAACTCCTTACCCACCAAATGATGATATTAGAAAGCTGGTGGTTATGAGGAGGGCATAGTGAATATCAATATATATGTATATATGCATATATATATTTATTATACTTCTCTCAAGAATTTCTCATTGGATTGACGTGAAATGTGGATGTGTGTTTTAAAGGATATTTCGTTAATAAAATGAGGATCCACGCTTTGACAATCTTGATTTTCGTCTACATGAGTTTTGAATCTCTGCTTCAATCATTACACTGATCACTCAATGCATCAAAAGTTATCTTTATATGACGAGGTTTTTTAATTTCTAATTAATACTCAATCAGCCTGGTACAACTTTTTGGGAAAAGAAGGGTAAATTGAAGTAACCTCTTTTCTTTTGTTAATTGCCTAACTCTCTCATCAATAAATATTCTTCTGATTGTACTAAATTAATATTTTTTATTGGATTTGAATTAAATTGCATATGCACTAAAGTATTATATAACATGAAATGTCAAATCTACAAAAAAATATTTCAATCATTCATTATTAAGAGAAAAGTCTTTATTAAAAAAAAAAAAAACACAGATATTCCTCTTTCCCAGTTGGAAATTATATATACGTACGTATAAATGGGTTATGTCTATTTCTTTCCCTTTTTGGTTCCAGATTTTTTGTTTTCTTTGTTGGTCTCTTCCTTCTTTAATTAATTATATTTAATTTAATTTAAATTAGTGTTTGTTAGAATTATAAATAAAAATTATTACTTTAGGAATTAAAGATTAAAACGTTTAAAATTCTGTAGACGAACAACCACGTGTACACCGCCTTTTTCAAATCTTCCCATCACGTGCCTTCCCCCAAAAATAAAGTTATACCCCAACCGCAAAATACACCACCACCTGCCCAAACTCCTCCGTCACCGTTACTCTGACGGAGTTCTTTTAAATACTCATTTAAACACAAAATTAAAACCAATAAAACAAAATACATTTCCGATATTTCCGTTCCCCGCCGGTTCAAAAAAAAAATTGCCGAAAAGTCGGCAGTCAAAAACGACCGGGGAGAAAATCACCCTTCCAAAATCAACCGTCTCTCAAATCGCTACCAGAGGATCCGACCCGAATAAATCCCCGATATCCTGAAAATGGTCCTCCACATGCCAGCTCGAGAACCCATACCCCATCCCGTATCCCACTCCAAAATCTTCAAACATCTCCGCGTAATTCTCCTTCGTCGTATCATCAAAAATGTCCGGCACCCCACTGAACACATCACTTGCAAACAACGTCTCCAGTTCCAATAAACTCTCTGATACGCACGCCTCCTCCCCAACTTCTTCGGCCTTACAGCTAACTTCTCGGGCATTCTTGTTGCTCTGCGACTCGGCTTCTTCGTTTGCAGACGAGGGACAGCGGAGGACGGAGGTGGGCGAGCATATGTTGTTATTGCTCTGTGACTCCTCGCCGGAGTTGTATTCGGAGACCTGGGGAGGCTTGGTTTCAACCGGAGGAGGAGTGATAAAGTTGGTGAGAGCGTCGGGACCACGGAGCTGGATGGCGGCGTTATCGTAAACCATAGCTGCTTCCTCGGCTGTGTCGTAGGTGCCTAACCAGAGTCGTACTCGTCGTAGAGGGTCTCTAATCTCCGCCGCCCATTTTCCCCACGGCCGCTGCCTCACCCCCCGGAACTTCCTTACGGCGGGGATCTTGGGTGGCTGGTCAGAGGAATCGATTTTCCGGGACGGCCTCTTCCTGGTTCTGGATGACCTGGAATTCGAAATGTGCGTAGAACAGGAATGTATGGTGACCTCGTTAACAAACTTCTTGATGCGTTGTCGTTTCAGTGGAAGTCCGTCGTCTTCGTCACTAGACGAGTCAGTGGCATCGGCGTCGGTGAGGGATATCCTTACAACTCTGGGTGTCATTTGTGGAAGAGTTCCTGGGTTGGTGTTTGAATCTTTAGTGAGACTGGGTTTGAGGTTTGTGCAGGTATGGTGGTGGGTATATTTGATTGGAGGGAGGTCAAAACTGCAATCCATTTGTTGAGAAGAAGGGTTGTATATGTGAATCAGGTTGTCATGGAAGTGAGAGTGGGGGAAAAGGAGGGAGATTCGTTTTGTGAGTAGACAGGAAGAGAATAAAGAAGGAAGGGATAAAACTAAAAAGAAAGCAGAGAGGGAGAGGGAACAGACGTTAAAGAGAAGATTGAAAGGGAGAGAAATCTACCATTTATAAATAAAAAATAAAAAAAAAAAAAGTTAAGAAAACTAAAGGGAGAGAAATTTCATGGAAAGTTAGAGAGAAAGAAAAAGAAGGAAGAACAAATGTCCGAGGGAGAGAGAGAACCTTGCAGCACGGAAAGCAGAGAAAGAGCTACGTATTTGAGAGACAAGTAGTAGGAAAACAAAATTAAAGGGTACAAATTTCAGAGAGAAAGATAAAAGACTGTATACCCGGTAAAGGAAAGGAATAAATGTTTCCACCACTAAACTCGACCCAGATTTGCCTACTTGGGTGGCTAAATCGTTTTCTTCAACTTTCTATTCCTTTTTCCTTTTTTTTTTTTTTTTTTTTTTTTTTTCTTTTCCCGGAAAATGGATAAAGCTGCTTGCTGGAGACTGGAGAGGGGAGAAGGAGAGTAGGGTTTTAGAAAAGAGCAGTCTGTGAGTGTGGGTGAACACCAGAGCCAACTCGCTCTTTTTTATATACAGAACAGCCGTAATTTATTAAATTATTATTAATTTTTTGTTTTTACTTTTCAAGTTTTTATTTTATTCACATGAAAAATGTTTTCGACGGAAAAGAAAGTTTTAGCTAAAAACGACCGGTCGAACCGGATTAGGGGAGGGGGGGGGGGGGGGGGGAGGCTTCAACACCTTGAGAATCATACACTAGGCGCCACATAACTTTTGGCACGTGCGATGGACACGTGTGTTGTGGACCCGGTAAAAAGAGGAGATCCAATGGGGACGGTGCTGACTCGGCTAAAGATTTGTTCTCGTAATTAGGGATTCAGGTCACGTGAGACTGCTTTTTATTTTTATACTAATCCTTTTAATTTTAACTAATTACCACCGTCAAAAAGAGAACGTTACAGTGAGTGGATCTCGGCGGGGGTGAGTATCTTAACGTTTTACCCCATTTTCACAGCTGGCAGACAACCTAGGACTCGGTTGTGCCTATGGCCACTTCCTACCTTCACCGTTTATTGACAGCAAATTGTGGGCGTTAGACGAAGTTATGCATCACGTGTTTTAATTAATAGAAATTAATCGAGTTTTATTAGGTTTGTTTTGGTTTTTTTTAAATAAAAAAAAAAAAAAAAAAAAAAATTAGTAGGCGGTTGTTGACTATTATTGTATCGGGGAAGCTGTTTACAATTATTATGATGTCTAATTTAGAAAATAACGAAGGCGAATCAAATTCCCAAAACTAACACTCAAAAAGTACGTAATTATTGTTCTCTTTTTAATTTGTCCACCCCATATTAAGTATTAACTATGTATGTATGTACGTTTGTAAGTATATGTATATGTGTCTATATATATATATATATATATATATATATAGTGATAGGTATGGTATAATATTAAATGGGTTTGATCTATTTTTAAATTGTTTTAACACGGACTAACAACACTCCCGAGTCATTAAATGCTCCAATTAAATTTACGTGACCAAATGCTGCCTTGCCTCGCATGCATCTTCCATTTGCCCCCTTAATTTTTAATTTAATTTCCATTACAATAATGTGCGCATACATATATATTACAGACATTAAAATGTATGACTCTTTCATTTTTTTGTTGATTATTAAACATGTAATTAGAAACATGGTTGGAAAGAATATATTGCACTAATTGGCTTAAGTTTCTCTATTAATAAAAATACGAGAGAGTAAGATGACAAAGGAGCCGCCTTGTTTTGTTTTGTTTTGTTGTTCGATTGGATTTTGTTTATTATTTGGTATTAGTCAGAATGTTTATGTGCCTTAATTATCCATGCCAAAAGTTTAATTGCAGGGTGTGTGTTACATATGTAAAACTTATATATATATATATATATAAATTCCCACCAACCAGTGTTCTTACTTGTCCCATTTAATTATTATTATTATTATTCTAGTAGTTATTACTACTTTTGTGTATATAATTTAGGAAGGTGGAGAGAAATTGTCTGACCAAAGTTGAGGTATAAGAATTTAATTGATATGGGAATATTCTAAAGTTTAATTTTAATTTTAATTTTAATTTAATCCGGTTTGAAGGATGTCCTTCAATGATTTGTCTGGTGGGTTGTAATAATAATTAAATTATTATACGAAATAATTGTCGAATTATTATTTGCCGTTTTGTTGCAATTTCAAGTTTGGATTATTAAACAACGATTAGTGCTTCATGTATAAATTAAAAATAGATTGCCACATTAAATATATACATACTATCAGGAAGGTGATCATCTTTAAAACTATAATTAAATATTTTATACCTGGTTGCTAACTCTCTTAATGGTATGTACACAATAAGCAAAATATGATTTTAAAGTTGAACAATTATCAATAAGTAAGTGAATTAAAGAGACTAATTTTGTCTCCCCATCCAAGCTTTACCTTTTCAGAAACATGCTCTCTCTACAAATTTGGAATATATATATATATATATATATATATTCCCTATACATTCAAACCTCTTTCTACATTCCTTTTTCACAATAATTATCGGATTCCTAGGTGTTCGTCTTGTATGTATATGTTTTATATATATATATATATATACGTGGGGAAACTTAATTAAAATGTGTGTTAAAATCGGCTTTTGATAAATAAACACGCAAAAGCTAAAGCTATATAGTTTGTAATTTTCAAAAATTAATTTAAGCTTTCAATACAAATTTATAATTAAATTTTCAAAAGTTACTTTTAATTAAAAACTCATATCACAAATATATAACTATTTAATTACTGTTTTTATTGAAACAAAGAAAAGAGGATAAAAGAATTTCATTTTCTTTTCCCACACTTTCTTCAATAAATTCTAAAACACCGTTAAAAATTCTCTCTCTTTGGAAAATTATATTTTTACGCTCGCACTTTCTCTCCATTTATTTCTTTCTTTTCAAGGAAAAAGGACATGGTTGATATGTTATGGGTATATATATATATATATATAAATACGTTAAAAAAAATGTGTGTGTGTGTGTGTGTGTGTGTATACATACATACATATATATGTATATATATATATATATATGCGTCGCGGAGAAGAAGAAGACAAAAGAAAAGAGGTGTAGGTTTCTCGATGGGCGAAAGCCTCCCCCACTCGCAAGCAATATGCTAAATGAGTACATCATATTCGACAAACTATTTTAAAAATAAAAATACATATATGTATATATATATATATAATAACGAAAAGTCAACGTTCATGGTTACTTCCCAAGATCGAAATTTTGAGCCACAAAATTTTCTGGATATCACTGTTAATTTCATATGGATTCGGGCTCAGTACCAAAAATCACCTTCCCTTTTATTACTCAATCATAACCACCCCCTACAATTACCCACACAAAAAAAACAAAAACTATTTTTTTATACAAGACAAAGAAAGTGCCTACGTATGTGTGTGTGTGTGTGTGTATATATATGTATACGGAGGGAGGTCTTTGTTTGGATAGAGTAATGGATTCCTACTTTCTCCTATCATTTACTAACTATTACGACTAACCCAAAAAAAAAAAAAAAATATATGTAAATATATATATATTCACCTTAGTTTCTCTTAAAAATATATATGCAAAATTGTGATCAATCTTTATGGTAGTATAATAATCACAACGATACTTATAGTTTTTTTTCTTGAATAGTTTTACAATAATAAACTATAAGTTAATTAAGAATTAAAAAATTAATCTTACTTAATTTAGTGTATTTCACCTAACTCTCTCATCATCTCGTCATATTCTCTACCTTTGTAGCTACATAAAGCTTCAAACTCCATGTTCGTGTCGATTTAACTGTTGTTGCACCTCCTTTAACCTATGTGGTCAGAGCTCGTCATCATCGTCTCTCACGCTGTGCTACTTCATCTAATACTCATTAACGTAATAATTTCTCTTATTTCTTCTAATATCCACTGTAAAAAATTTAACATTGTGTATTTATGTAGTTCTTCTTATAATATTTGATTTTATTTCTTCTAATTGTTAAAATACAAGTCAATGCCAAAAAATATTACATTACTTTACATTGCCAACTCAACATCTTCCCACCAGCGAGCATGAACATGATACAGGAAGTCGAGTCTCGTAACCTTTTGTTTCTTCTTTTCCTTATTTCGCCTAGTGATATACTAGGGTGTATATATAGTATGTATATATATTTACTTTTCTCATATTTATCTAAAATTTTCTCATCAATTAAAAAATAAGGAGAAAACCCTATATCCATCATTTGTTTCTTGTCGACTCTACCTCTCTCTCTTTGTTATTCTCCTTTTTGAATAAAAAGCATATATCTATCTTAGTTTCTTCTTCTTTCAACCAAAATCATTATTCTCAAAATCTTATATTGTGTCAGAGGCATTATGGAGAATAAAAATTCCAATTAAACTACAAACTCAATTTCCCATCAAAATTCAACTTCGTGAATAGAAATGTTATGGATCCTTCTCATCCAAACAATCCCTACTACATTATACTAACGAAAGCTCAAGTTTATTGCTTGTAAACTAGTTGCTTAATTCATAACAACTATCACACTTGGAAATAATCAATGAAATGTATGTTCTACATGAAAAATAAAATAGAGTTTGTTGATGCAAGTTTGAAAGAATCGATAGATTCGAGTAGTTCACTTATGGAACATTGGGTACGAGGCAACAATATAGTTTTCACCTAGATAAAAGAATGTATTGTCAGTTGATATCAATTGTCGCATATTTTACGTAATCACAACTCATTAGTTATGAGTCAAGCTTAAATAGAGATATGCACAACAATATGCATCAAGAATCTACGAGATGAAACGTAATAGTGAATTTGATGCACAATATACTGTAAGTGTTTATTTTTTCAAATTAAAAATATTATTTGATGAGTTGTAAAACTATGAATTAATTTCAAGTTGTATATATAGTGAGTTAAGAATTATTGTCGAATAATAATAAAGGGATTGGATAACAAAATTCCTTATGGGTTAAATGAATGGTATAAGGCTGTTAAAGCACAAATATCATTAACAAAGCATTTTCGAGCCTAAATAAAGTTTATTCCAGAGTGCAATAAGAAGAAAATGTAAGACAACAAGAGGACAAGAAGATAACATTTATCTTGTTAGATAACTTTGCGAATAAAGTTTTAACATTTACTATCAAAAATTTAAGTAAGATAACAAAAAGACACACCTCAAATAGTGAGAAATACTATTGTTTTCACTACAAGATAGCAGGTCACTTTATGAGCAATGGTTTAAGGCTAATCCAAATTATTTTACATATTTTATTGCAACATACTCGAACACATTACAGAAACCTACTAAAAGCTACATGGATATTCAAATAGATATATAAGTCTCACGGGAAGGCCAAGTTGCCAAGTTTTAACCAAGCCTTTTTATCTTTCATACATGAATAAAATAGCACTGAGAAGCAAGCCATCATTGTACAAGAAGAGTATATGCAATTAATGGTCTTGTTGTAACAAAATCATCCTTCAACACATTTACTATAGTCATCTCATCATGATTCTTGTCAAGAGCCTAATGTGCTTGAATTTTCTAATATATCTCTTTGTCTCTCTTCTCATTTAATAAAATTATAAAGATACACTACTATTCTTTGGATTATAGATACTGGTACCTAATATCATATTGTGTCTATAGCATGTCTGCACACAAACATTGCAACAAATATTTACTCCACACTTGTCTTATCAAATGGTGATAGAATAAATGTTTTTTATATTGGAATGGTAAAGATATCCAATACATTAATTCTTCGGAATGTTCTACATGATTCATCCTTCAATTTTAATCTCATATTGACTAAAAAGCTTGCTAATGATTCAAACTATTTATTATCATGTCTTTTCACTTTGAACTTATGTGACATTAGGATATTTTTATATTAATCGTGGTTTATATTAATTGGAGTTAGTGAAGTAAAGCATGGTCCATATTAATAGCTGCAACATGAAGTTCCTTTTATAAAATCTTCCCAAAAGTTGTTTGCCACTATTATCTTTAAGTTGAATCGTGATAAAGGTTTTGATCCCTAACATTACCGCCATGGACATCCTTTATTGTCTATGTTAGGTTTACTTATGCATGTTTTCAAGGGTACAAAACGTAAACAATATTATATTTCCCATTTGTCAAACTTCATAGACTTCCACTCTCAGTTAGTCAATATAAATCAAAACATTATTTTAATTTTATACATTTTGATTTTTAAGGATCCTACAATGAAGTTTTTTGTGATGAGTTTCATTATTTTCTTTCAATTATATATGACTTCAGTGGATGCATTTAGATATACTTGTTTAGGTTTAAATCTGACACTAGTTCCATTCTATAAAGCCTTTGTAACCTCATAGAGACATAATTCAATACCAAAATTAGAGTCATTTGCTATTACAATGGGAGAGAGTTTGACGTGAGAGATTTCTACCTTAAAAAATAAATCATTCATCAAAAGAATTGTATCGAAACACCTAAACAAAATGAAAAGGGTTGAGATAAACTATCAACATATATTAAATGTTGCTAAAGTCTTCAAATTTTAGAATAGTCCCAGCTTAAAATATTGGAGTGATTTTCATCCTTACAATTGTGTATTTGTTCAACAGAACTCCCTCATCTTTCATTAACTACAAAACTTTATTTTTTACTTGAAACCAAGCCAACTTACTCACACCTTATAGTATTTTGGGACTTTGGTCTTTGCCTCTATTCTACCTAATAACAAACACAAATTTGATCCAAGAGTAAGGAAATGTGTTTTCTTAGGACGCTTTGGTATCAAAAGATATAAACTCCTTAATATTAAGACCAAAAATATATTTTTTTATGAATGTAGTATTCTATGAGAATATATTTCCCCACAAGCCAAGAACAAAACTGTAAGCACAAATTCTTTTGATTTATCCTACACTAAAGTAAAAATCACACAAAACATTTATCCTACAGAGAACTCGGAAAAAGATTTCAACTTAGTGAATGTGAAATAGACACTTACTAGATTAAATATCCACATTTTTAATTAAATTATTTATTGGATCAATTATATATAAACCATCAAAGACAAAAGAAAAGAAAATAAATAAATAAATAAACATTCATATTATAAAAATATTCAATTAATTAAATATAAACTTATTCTATTTGAAAGTATAGGGATCAAATACAAAGATTTTTACAATTTAGTCCTTTTAAATTCTAAAACTAATCTGGAGGGAGTGAAAAAGACTACCTCTTTACCACTTGTCACCTGGCATATTTGAGTTTTATTTTTTATTTTGGAGAAATTTAATCAAATCAATGTTACTTTTGACCAAATAATATATATACATTAATTTAAATATTATTTAATTGTTGTTTTTAATTAATACAGTAAATATATATTATGTTTGGAAGAAATAAATCTCATCAAGGACTCAGTAAATTTCATCAATATGTATATTATATATTTTTCATAATTCATTTGTTCTTAGCAGAAGAAAAATAAGAATTCATTAACTGTCTAAGAAGAAAAAAGAAATCTTTGGGCATAAAATGCACGAAACAAACTCACAGTGAGTGTACAATATATATATATATATAGCACGAGAACATGCACAGCACATGATTATAAGTTGCATGATGTAAGGAAATTAATCTTAATAAACTATATATTGTGGGAATAATGGGAGTTGGAAAGGGAAGTACATACACCTGTATATACGTATACATGATGATTAATTTTTTGCATGGATAACGAAATTCTGAGAAGAAGATCATCAGTTAATTAATAAATGGAACAATATTAGAGACAAATCCAAGTGAGCTACTTTTTTCTGAGTCCATGTGGTGAGTCGAATCGACGACATTAATGGCCTGGAAAAACCTCGAAGAAATTTGAATGTGAGCTTTTGGTTGTCTTCACTATAGACGAAGGTGTTAATAAGGTACGTCAATGGCCACTGATAAATCTCAAGAGAGCTGCTTTACAAATCAATTATTTATTTATTTTTAAAAGAAGAAAAAAGAAAAGAAAAGCAGGAGTCTTGGGTTTTGATTAAATGCAATGTGAGAGTGTATACATACACGTGTGTGTGTGTGTGTGTATATGTTATTAGTAAAAGACGTTATAGTTATATATGCTTTTTTTCTTTTTGATTTTATGGGGAACATAAATTAAAGCGGACAGGGTATTGTTTGACTCCTTACTTTAAGGGGCTACATAACTACTCAGTTATTACTGTCTCTTTTCCCTTTTTTTTTTTTTAAAAAATTATTTTTTATTATCTCCATAAATTACTCATTGTTTGAAAATCATGGTTTAAGCAAAATATTTCGGTCAATCTTAATATTATAAAGTTATATATTTTAATGCACAAATTAAAAGTGTAGGAGTCGAATCTAAATTGTTAATTTTACTACGAAATTATGACATCATGTGAAAAATTAAACCATAAGTTTTAAATATAAATATTGAACTTAAAACCGTCTGACTTTAGTCATATAAAGATAGAACAATATACATGAATAATATTAGAGAGGTTAATGTTATTTAGTTTATATAATATAAATTTTTTATTGAAAAAGTTAACCGTTGGAATTCCAATCTTTATCTCCATCCAATATAGAGAAAGAATATATATATATATATATATATATAATATAATATAATCATGTCTTGTATTGGATATTTAGAAGGGGGAACACACGCCATGCCTTTATGTCTAATGAAAACCAGATATCATCATTCAATACATTATCGCTTAATTGATTAAATGGACAAGTTCATATTCACTCAACGCCACTTGTAACCTTCCTATCTATTAACAGCTGATAAAATAAAATAAAATAAAAGATTCCTATGATTTTTTTTTTAAAAAGTATAAATTTAATAATTTAAAATGACATATTGCTTCAAAAATGATCCTAACAAAGTTAGACAGAATTAATTCCTCACTACGTGGAAAAAGCCTATCAAAAGTTTCAGAACAAGATCTGAAGACCAACTTCAACACTAACTGGGGATTTTGTGCTCTCTTTCTTCCTTTTTTTCTTTGAAATAGTCCCATATCTCACCTACTGCATTATATATATATATATATATAGGTCTAGCCATGCTTTCACGGGAATTCAGTGAGATATTTTTGGGCATTAAGAATGGGCCGAACTGTGCTTCACGTGAATGAATGGAGAAGGTGAAGAATTAGGAAATGACAGGTGATTGTTCCTCAGCTGGCGTTGGACCAGCACATTTACAAGCTTTACTTGGGATGGGCCTTTCATCATTTTGTTACATTCAAATTACTAAAACCCAACCTCCATATCCACCCCTTTTCCTCATACTTACTGATTTATTGTACCAATCTCCATAAACCCTCGCAGGTAGGTTAGGCGGGGTAAGCATTAAGCAACTGTCAAATTCAAGGGGGTGTACGCGTAGGTACAAGAACCTACCTTCCGGTAAAACTAAGCTTCCTTCAATCTATCTGCCACTACCATGTATCTAGTTCCTTTAATCAGCAGAACTAAATAAAACTTATGGGATATAACTTGAATTTCCCGGATGTGCCAACAGGTTGTTAGACCGGCTTCATCAAACTTCAGAACATAATTCCACATACACAACACCAGAATTAAGACAGCATCTGTTTTTAAGGAGGGTAGAATTTGGACGGATCTCTTCCCTAAGGTCCAGTTATATATTGAGGATACACAGGACAAATTCTTGCTTATACGGTCATTTAAACAAACCAACATGGAAATAACCCTTCCTCTCCCGCACACTGCAGCAGCATACTAACCCATAGCATACTTCTGGGTCCAGCTCCTTGCAGTCGTCTCATACTTGCTCCTATCTGTCTTGTACATGTGTGCAATCTCAGGTACCAGAGGATCATCAGGATTTGGGTCCGTTAACAGTGAACAGATTGATAGCAGCACCTGAAAGCAACAAATAATAATAATAATGACAAACCTATCCTCATGCTTCAATAAAAGTAACAAAAAGGGTGGCACCCCCTTGGTGTCTCTGACTTAATATTCTTCTCATACTTTTTATTTTTTTTTTAAAAAAAAAAGAATAACAAAAAGGGTAACTTGCATCACCAATTGCCAAATCATATCCTTATCTTGCCAAAAGAAATATACACTCATTGGGTTGCAGCACTTAAAACATATGAGCTTACAGTTACAGAAAATTTCAAAAAACCGAAGCTCAGAGTATGCAATATGAAAAACTTCAGTAAGTTTTGCACAAAGACAAAACATATGCTGATGGAGGTGACGAAAATTCATCTAAAGCTTCAGTTAAGTATGCACCACTTCTTCGAAAACATCTTTTTAAAAAAAATAAAAAGTATGAACAGCTATTAATGAAAGGACACCAAGAAGGTGTCACCTGTATGCATATTTACATATCAGTAAGTCAATGACATTCCAAAATCATCCCACCTATAAATATCATGACCTAAAATTAAAGAACCAAAAAAGTGTAACTATTTGTCCCTAATTTTATATATTTCACACTCAATCCTCTCAAACGTTCGCCTATTTCTTTCTTTCCACACCACCCAAAAGATAATTAAAGGAATTAGAAGTGAAGCTTTTTTTTTTTTATAAAAACCCGCCCAAGCCCTGAGTTCATCTCTTACCGACACCCCCCACCCCGCCCGAATAACCCAATTAATCCCCAACAATCCATAACCATAGACAAAATCTAGATATGCATGCAAAGGAAAGTTTTATGAGTAAAAAGTCCATTGGTGCAAGTACTATTATTACAATAAAAATTGCTTTTTCCTAAAATTTTCTTGTTCTTGAAATTCACTAAAGCTGAAATGCACCTTTCAGCTTGACATGGTATGCTAAGCAGTAAAAGTACAAAATGATAAACCATATTAGGGATGCCTATAGTTGTACCCAAAAATACCAACTAAATGAAATAATAATTCTAGATCTGCTTATTTGCATGGAGTTTAGAGTAATACAATTGACAATTATGGGACTAGACCATGGGATCATGCAAAGAATGAAAATGCAGCAAGCCATATTTAAAGGGCATTTAAAACACACTCAATTTATATTCTGACATAAAGACACTCCATATGTTAAGATGCTTTGGGATATTAAAATTCAAAATAAACCTTTGATATGGTGAGGGCAGGACTCCACTGCTCTTTCAAGATGTCCAGGCAAATGCTACCATTGCTGTTGATGTTAGGGTGAAAGACCTTTGTCCTAAATGCAACCTGCAGTAACAATACAATAGGATGACACGCAGATGATGATACCCAAAGAAGGAAATTTAGAACTGGAAATCTATGCAACCTTATGAAAAACAAAAGAAATTACAATCACACATGCGGATGCAACTTTTAAGTAGTACATATTCTCGAAGACATCTATGAACCCTTAGCAATGTACATAACATGATTCTTTAACAAAACGCAGAGGCAGTGTTTAACTACCAATAGATGTATACTTAAGAACAGGAACTATGTTTTTCCATCATGTGGCCTGGTCTTTTTTCAGGTAAAATGAAGGTCCCACTATTACATTAATTCATTATTCCATCATAATAAAGTTGAAGCTAATGCTACTCTCTTGATCCTAAATTATAAACTAGCGCATATTTTGAAAATGTCACATTTTCCAGACATCTGGAGACTAGGATCTTCACTAGACAAGGAGACCATACAGAAAGGAAACAGTACTCAATTAACTTTCATTGATCAATCAAAGTGCTGGACAGTATCCTATGGCTATCTTTAGCTCAAATGCCAATTCCATGGAATAAAAAAAGGAATACGAACACAATAGAGATGATATATGTTCAAAAAATAATAATAATCTAATTCCATTTCTAATTCAAGGGGAAGTATGGTTCCTCTATGATCAAAGTATGAACTACAACTCCATTACAATAAGATCAATACGACAACCAAATTATTTCAATTGTGAATCAACTATAGAAATTATAATTCAATCCCACATATCAAGCATTTCAGTTGAGGAATGGAGAGAGAACATAATAAAAACTCAAGCAAACAGACCACAAGGATCACTCTACAGAGGACCTTTGCATATCATGACATGCAAATAATAGAATTTAGGATTATTATCATTTTAGTTCCAGAACTCTAAGCAAAATTATAATTTGATCATAAAATTTTTCTTATTTTGAAAAAAAAAAATTTCCCCTTAAGAGCACCAAGGAGGTGCAACTCAATACAAAAAACATATACATAATTTACAATCGCGCACAGGAGAGAAGATCAAAGAGATACAAAGTTTCAATACCATCAGAGATGGAGATTCCCCTTAAGCAAATACAAAAAATTCTAAACAAGTGACTCTAATCTCAAGAAAGGGAAAGAGTTGTCAAAAGCTCTGTTGCTCTTTCCAAATAACAAAAAAATAGATCCAAATAACAAAAAAATAGAACAGTGAATGACAGAGGTAATCTTCTTGGACTTACGAGAAGCAATACCAGCCCATGCCCATGTTCTTCTTGACTACAAAATTTTCTATCATTATAAATTAATCCCTGATTCTATGAACATGTTCCAAATATGATCTTTTATTAGAAAACATCATTAAAATTTAAAAGGAAACGTAAAACTAAACCAACTGAAAAAAAGACTTAAAAGAGCAATG